AAAAAAAATGGATTTGCAGACTGCATTTCATGAATATTGAAGCAGTGGAACATTAAACATTCTCCAAAGGGCAGCAATTGTAGGAAAGTATCTGATGTTTTGTGAATACTTAAGACTTTACCATACATGAAAATTGACTACGTAAAACAATTTTATGATGAAGAAAATTCTCTGAAGTAAATATACAATTTGAATTCTATCTTTCTTTCAATTTCAATGTCTCAAGTTCAAAATCCAAATTCAGATTATACATTTCTAAGCCTCTGAAATTCATTATCTCGACTTAAAAGAATTGTCAAAGAAAGATATAATCAGTTTTCTTTTTTTTTTAATGCAAAATTGCACCTGAAAAAAAGTTTAAAAAAAAATACATCAAATACACATAATCATTATGCTGAGGGAAAACAGATCCTTGATAAAAGATTTTACAATTCTATTACACATAATGTTTTTTCCTCTTTTGCTAAAAAAAAAAATCCCTTCTCCCATTTTTTATGCTATTTTTAACAGGGATTTTTAATGAAAATATATTTCAATTTCCTTCTTGGCATGAGAGCAGAAAATCATACTGGGCTTTTCTCGGTGTAATACTTTACATTAAAGAAGGTCTGGAGTATATTGTGCTGTTGAACATAGCAATGAAAAAAGGAGCAAAGACTTCAAAAAAATAGTCAATTATTGATTTTTACTTTAGTCTGATAAAAAATACTACACACATTAAAATTATACATAATTAGGTTTGTATATATACTGTTATTTTCTTGAGAAAATCTCTAAATCAGTAGATCAATTGAATTCTTTAAACAGAAAAAAAAGATAAAAGATTAAATTTCTCTGAAACTGCATTTGTAACAAGTATAATCAATATAAAGCATGCCTTCATTGTGCATTTTTTTTCATCCTCTTAAAATTCTTTTAATTTTCAACTTTAAGGTACACTGTTTTTTTAAACTCTTTTGAGTATCACATCTGTGCAACAAGGCAGACACAACTTGATTGATTGGCGTATTGCGTAACACATGCGTAGCATACCTCTTTACCGCCATATTGCCTCTACATGTACTATTGAATTTTCTTCCTTATGAACTTTGCACATTCATCTTCTTTAAATTAAAAGAAAACGGTCTTGGCAGAGTCTAATTGTTCAGAATTTCATACTAACACAAGAAAACATATAAAACATTGATTTACACTTAATGTTCAAAGTTAATATACGTAATTTTAAAAGATAAACGCCATTAAATTTTGTTGTTGATCACACAAAAAGCTTCTTCCTGTCTTAAGATGGCCGCCCAATGCGGGTCACAAAAATAACAAATGGATGCGTCGATTCTTATAAAATAAAATAATAACTATAAGACGACAAAACAATCACACGTGTAGAAATATATAACTCCAGGCTAAATTTCATTTTCCTTCAATTTCTCGGCCAAACACAAGTTTTTAAAACAATTTCTTTAGACTTCATTTTCGATCTGCGAACATTTGTTTTGCGTGGGTTGGTCCAGCCGTAAAGTTGGTGAGTAATTCACATTAAGAATTGACATTCTAAACTTATTGCCTGTACTGAAAAAACTATGACAATATATCCCACACATTTGAAATTAACTGCATATTAAAAGAAAAACTTACCTGAATTTGATTTTCATCCATTTTAAAGCAAAAATGTATCACTTCTTTCACATTCTTCGTTCCTCAAAGATGGCAACGTGACGCTGCTGCGCATGCGTCGAGTTAATCAATGTGTTTACTAAAAAACAAAACGTGTTTGTTTTCTGATATCCTTGGAAAATGATATCAACATATGCAATTTCAGCTTTTCTTAACATGTTCCAATTTTGTTCATTGTCAACAGATGTCAATACCTGGAAAAATGCGTATCCTGAAGCTACGCCTCGTAGTACGTGCGCATGCGCTTGTAAAATAGCAGGAAATGAAATGTTGCAGTGACAGTACCTAGGAGTGAAGTGAAACAATTCTATATTCATTACAAAGAAGACAAAGCAAAACTGTGATGACAAGAATCATGACAAGTTAATGTGTTTTACTCTTATAAGCGTGCCTTTTCTAGGCTTATTGGCTTGTAATGGTGTGGATTTTCTCTGTTGGAACGTGGAAGGAATCGTGTTTATATTATATTTATGATGATGAGACAGGCAATCTCTGAAACACATGTCGAACATTACCAGTTTTAGAGCAATGACTCTCTTCGGTGGAACTGCCCAAACGACAGTGGAAGTGGCAAATATTCAGGGACCAAAGACGATCGACGAATTCGGCTGCAGGCATGGGGCCCTTATGGGAACATTGGGCCTCTTTGTACAGGGTCTGCTTGCCTTCTTGGCTTTTACCTCCTTAATAGGTTGGTACCCATTTTTCTCCTTGGTATATGAGTTGATATTAAATAAGTGTGTTATTTAATTGTTATCCACTGTTATCGCAGTGTTTTTGCAGTATCTGGTAAATGGTAGAGTTTGAGACCAGATGCAGGAAAACTTCATATTTCAATCAGTGCTGGCCAACCCATGAATTAAACAAACAGGTGCATTAGAGGTTTGAAAATTTAAAGAAAAATATAGAAATCCTGTGTATCAAATCAGAAACTNAGTATTTTAACATAGAATTTTTATTTCATATTTGACAGGTATGTGATTAACTTCCTCCTGGACTCCACCATAGGGCTGTTTGTTGTGTACATAGGTCTTAAGGTGGCCCAGTGGATAGTGATCAGGAAAGGCTGGGAATCTCTCAAGTTTGGGGAGTATGGTAGGTGATGAAGTAAATGGGTTATATTTTTCAAAAGTTGTTCTGTTTACAAAACATGCATTTTATTTATTCCAAGAGCTCTTAGTGTGTTATTTTATTAAAGCAGTTTTACATAGTCGAGGTTTCAGTCTGTTCACTAGACCTTGGCCACGACATTTGCCACTAGGTGTCACTGCGGTAGCTGGTGGAAAAACAAAGTGGCACTTAGTGGACAATGTCGTGACCAAGGTGTAGCAGACAGACCAAAAGCATGACAAACTTTCAGAGTTATCATTTAGTGTGAATAATTTAATACTTTCTCATGAATAATTTGAATTTTACTGCAAATAATATTAAATGTCTGTGTTCTTGCAGGTGACCCTCCACAGTGTAACACATGGGCAGGACAGTGTGCTCTCTATATATTAGTCATGGTTTTTGAGAAGATTGTTATAACACTCTTGGTGCAGTTCAGTTTTTGGGACAAGGTGATGATTAGGATTCAGAACTGTAATATCGTGACTTTTAAGTGTAGAGATCGAATGGCTTTTAGTGATATCAGTAGAGAACTAATTACAAAGCAGAAATTCAAAGAGACTAGTGTTGTATCACAAAAATGTTGCCAGTTTTTTCCATATATTATAAAGAAAAAAATTCCTGACAATTTCAGTAAATTATATTTTTGCTTTTATTACCAACCTGAAGGACTTCAAAAACCTTTCAGAAAGTTAAATGTGTAGACTCTTTTATTTTACCATCATCAGTGAAAGTCAAAGTCAAAGTATTTACATAATTAATTGGTTTGATTCTGAACTTTGACAATTTTGAAACACCAGTAAATGAGACAAGAAAGTTAAATTTTACTTACAGAACACGTAAAAATATTAAATAGTTTTTAATTACAAAGTACCAAAAAATAAGCAGATAAATCCTGATTGAAACACATGTAGCAATGCTGTTCAATGAATGGTGCGTTTATGTATTTATTAATTACAGGTGAGAGATGTGATTTTGTCACCAATCAAAGACCCACACCTAGAACTGATTATAGTGATGTTTGTAGTGCCTTTAATTGTCAATGTAAGTAAATAAATGTTAAGACATAGCATTCAAAACCATGTCAAATTACAAATAATTTATGTGACATCACCAGGAAAACGTGGAATTTTGATTTATTGGAGGGCAGTGAAAATCCGTTCCTTGCAATGCCATTTCATGATTAAATAATTATTTTAGTGAAAAGAGTATAGTGTTAAAAAGTAAACAACACATGACTGAATATCTGCTAAATTATGTATTGTATGAATTATTTTATTCCATTAAGGTTCGGGCCTTTGAAGTTGCCATATATCTGCAAAGTTAAAAATAATTTATTTGATTCAACAGATTCTGAAATAATTTCAGACTTTTCCTTGAAATTCATGCTTTCTATAAATTATTTTTTGCAGGCTATAATGTTCTGGGTTATAGACAATTTCCTGATGATGAAGAAACTGAAACTGAAAGCGTTCTCCACTCCAGTGGATTCCCCGGGAGCCTCTGTTCGCTATTTCAGTGCATCAAATCGTGTCAAATACTACGACAAACCAGAGAGGGCAGACAACTCAGATTCTGATGAGCCCTTGGACTTACAGGATGACTCGTCTGATACAGAAATTAGAATGAACGGGAGTCCTCTGCGTGATAGGCATCATTCAGAGAGTTTGGAAACCAACAGGCTGATCTGATAAAGTTATTTTTAAAATCTTATTAAATGAACATCATTGGGAGCATATCGTTTTCACTGTGATGGGTGTAAGGATACTTGTGAATCAAAATTATTTCTGGGACATAAATGATTCAATTTGGTCTATTATGCCAATGCTTTGGTGCCAACGGGAATTTTTTAAGTTTTGGAATCAATGTTGGTAATGGGTTGAAGTACCTAAATAGCAAACTTACTGTTGTTTATGATGTAATTATCATCATGGTATGTTGATGGTATAGTTTTGAGTAATGGCACATATTGCTACTTTTTTGAAAGGCAAACATATCCTGGATTGCTTAATATTAGCAGGGTAAAATAAGGAATTAATTTAAATTTTAATTTAAAAAAAACCAAGAGGAACAACCAGGATGAGTTGTACAGACTGGTTCCCCATCTTTAGTTTCTGTAGTAGAACCCTCAGTCAGTGGATGTGGGGATATTCGAGACAGGCAATGAGACACTTTGTTTATCTGTGGGATTAAGGGCTCTTTCCCAATGAAATGATATGTCTACATAGATCAATCCAACTATGCTGGGACTTGCTGAATGTTATCATATTAAAAAATGGCACGCTTCCCCCTGGTATTGAGTAGTAAAGATGTTGATTACATAAGTACATTGGACAGGAGGATGCATGTTATTCTGATATCATTCAGCATGGGTCCCTGGGGACCCAGATTAATCTATGTAGACCAAGTTTCATTGGGAATGTGCCCTAAGACCTTGAAATTTGATGCATCTGGCATTGAATTCTATACAGTAAGACTTTGAATGGCCTGAGTATTGTTTTGCAGTCCTCAGAGGTGATGGTGACTAAGGTGCAGCTAAAGTCTGTAGTTGTTTTATTGTATAATCAATACTTAATGTTACATTGTGTCCTTCAAGAAGTTCCAACATCACTCATCCAAGTGTATAGTCCCATTGATGGTATAGACCACTGAATTGTTTCTTTTAATCTATTGGTCAAAAAGAAATCCATGATCATGTCATCAGTGTATGTCATCATGGGTTTAAGATCAAAAGATGTCTTAATTACATAATAATATTCCAGATTTCTCCATTTCAACATGAAGTGATCAGCATGTATGCACACAGTGTTTCACCACTTTCACATGCTTGATTTTCAATGAATAACATGAAGACAATCAGCTCGTTCCCTTTCTCACCAAGCGCAAAGCAGCCCAATTACAGTCATAGGCAGGCCTAATTAACAGTACATGTTACTTAAAATTTCCTTGTTAAGTGCCTAATTTTAAATTAGTTTTTATAGAGATACCAGTGCTAGTATAATAGCACATAGTGGTATGAGGCAGATTTAGGAGATAGATACATTTAAGGCATTGAGGGCATATTCAGCCTTTTCTCAGATTGCATTTGTAAGAAGTGATGAGCACAAATATTAGACATAGTTAATACACATAATGTGTGCAATATGGTTAAACTTTTATATGGTTTAGGATGGGGAGCGGGATTTGCTTGCAGGCTCTCACAAATCTCTAGTTTTAATTGTTAGCTTTTGAAAGTTAAATGTACTGTAGAAATGACTATAATAAATTTAGATATTTTTATTTATTATAAATTAATTTGGGTTAAAGTTTACTAAGTGCGAAATAAAACAAGTTTTCATAGAATTGTGCGTTTTCTTCCATATAAATAGCAAATAATATTATATCAAAAATATACTTATATTTTTTAAAAATAATTTGTGCATACAACTTCAAGAAAGAACATGTTCAAGAAAAAAATAAGAATTATCAATGGTAAATAAACCAAATACACAAATTGTTTTGGGTACATAAAATATAGCAATTTTTCCTTGATGCTTATGCCACCCACTTTTAGAAATAAAGACATTTGCAAAGATCAGAGTAGAAGTAGTTGGCAATACAACAAAGTATGTTATCATCAATTTCACCATCCTGTTTTCAGAATAAGGTAACAAAACGGTCAAAATTAAAACAAAATAAAAAGTGAGACTCCACAAAACAGTAAAATACATTTATTTCAGTAGATGTTGCTGGCAACAAAAACAAGACTGGAATGAATGACCTCATTTTTTCTTCAAAATAAAAATCTTAGGTCTGGTTATCACTTTTACAGGTGGAAAAGATTTAACATTCAAATGCAATCTCTCAAAGCCTGGAATTTCCGCTATTATATCATGAGTATCCCTGTAAGGTTTTAGTTTGCCATTTTCACTGCTCTCTGTTCCTATCATAAGATGAGTGTATGACATCATCTCCTTGCCTCCGGGTTCTAGATCTTCTGTTTTGTTGTACCTAAAAGATGTTACAAATTATGAATATAAAAAAATCTTACTTTTGTGCAAATTGGCTATAAATGATATCAAATACATTTTTGAGTGATCTGAAAATGTTCCTGCAGAATAAAAAAACTAACAACTGTAAAAGATAAAAAAACATCTTGCCAGTCGAAAAAGAAAATTGTCTCCCTTTCTTACAGCAAACACAAAGCCTCACCTCCAGTATGGATGCACCTGTGTGTATCTAGACACACCTGTCTGAGCTGTTGGCACATCTATGTGAACATGTACAACTGAAATACAGAAATTACAACCAACTGCTTAATAAATTTACAAACAGGGCACTGGCAAATAGTTTACAGGTCCTTTTCACTCCTTTTCAACTGATTTTGATTTAACTTTTAGATTGGAAAAATTAAACTTGTAATGACCACTGCATTATAACTGTAAATGATTAGTCCACCTTTCATCTGGATCTCTCTCCGTTTTATATACATAGAGATTTTTTTCCTGACTATGAGTTACTTTTTTNGACTTTAGCATATTTTAATATTGAAATATCATGGTAGTAATGAATTGATTTCTAAATAGTCTTCGACAAAACCATTCCAAATGTGAAGCGAAGGGGATTTGTGATTTGCAGTTTATAATGTGGTGTTTGCGACAAGTATTTTTATGATTGCACCATGAAATCCCAGTTTATTTTATATATATTTCGAATTCACAATTACAACCCCACAGCTCAAAGTCACAAATGATCAGTTTGCCAATAAAGCCTGATACCTTTATTTCCTGCCTCCAGCTGATGGAGACGATACATAGCAGTTCCTCCGGGATAATTTAGGTGGGAGATATACAAAAAAGCTCCAGTGGTACAGAGGTTGACTAACAGGTGCCCACAGGCACCCAGGGCCAGGAATTTACTCCACACAGACTTTTTTCTGTTGTTCCATCTAAGAATAAAAGATTTTACTTAACAGGTGGCATATGACATTATATGGTTTGGTACAAGTTAAGATTTTTGCCCATTGTAATGTGTAATATAACAGAGACATCACTGCTGTTCAACTGTTCTATTCACTACAATGGGCGTAGATCTGCACTTGCCCCAGGGATGTCAATACACTGTTTATAATCCTCACTTCTCTTAGTCATGCCTGAACAGATCAAACTGAGCTAAAAAAA